TGCCAAAAATAACCAAACGTGCCTTAAGGCGCTCGATAGTACCATCAGACTTATGTTTAACCTTATAAACCCATCGGCAACCTAAGGCACGTTTTCCAGACGACAATGGAACAAGACTCCTAGTGGAATTATTTTCAAGAGCTTGAATCTCTGCACGCATTGCTTGGCGCCACCCATCGTGTTTGACCGCATCAGCAAAAGAATGTGGTTCCGTACCAGAGTTAAGAGCTGACAGGTAAGCCAAATGTTTTGGAGAAAATTTATCACAAACAACATAATGAGTTATAGGGAATGGCGTACATGAAGAAGATGATGAAACAGGAGGAGCGAGGAATGGACTGTTTTGCACAATAGTATGTGTGACATAATCACGGAGACGGACAAATGGCATCCGTGGACGACGTCCCCGCCGAACTGTTTCTGGCCGTTCAGAAGATGCACGAGAATCCGAATGAAACTCTTGAGTAGTGTGGGAATCCGCAGCAGGAGTTGAGGATGGCACGTGCATGGAGGCATCACCATCGTACCTAGAGACCACCATAGGATACCCATGCAGAGCTAAGTCATCATAATTCTGGACAAATATGTCGGATGGCTGATCCGTATGATCCAAGGTCTCTAACGGGTAGCAAGAGGGAATATATTCTCAAAAAATTTGACATCGCGGGAAACAAAATATTCCCCATTTTCAATTTCGTAAACAGTCCAACCTTTCTTGCCAAACAGATAGCAAAAAAATATGCATTTTCTACTCTGATTAGCAAATTTGTCCCCTTTAGAATTCAAATTAAACGCATAGCACAGACAACCAAACACACAGAGATTTATAACAAGGAGCAACATCAAATAAAATCTCATAGGGAGTTTTATAATCAAGGATAGCCAAGGGAGTGCGGTTAATAAGATGTGATGTTGTAAGAACACATTCCGCCCAAAATTTATTTGGCAAGTGGCCCTGAAATCGCAAAGCTCGTGCTACATTTAATATATGTCAGTGTTCACGTTCAACCCACCCGTTTTGTTGTGGCGTGCAAACACAAGATGTCTGGAAGATTATACCACTACTTCTAAAGAAATCTTTCAGACAATTAAATTCTGTACCATTGTCACTTCGTACAGTAATAAGCTTTTTAGAAAATTGACGGTCAGCCATAGCCATAAAAGAAAGGAACATTTTTAACACCTCCCTTTTATCAACAAGCAAGTAAATCCAAACTGCACGAGAGTAATCATCCACAATAGTTAAAAAATGTCTAGCACCACACGAAGAAGGGGTATTGTAAAGACCCCACAAATCACAATGCACTAATTCAAACACATCACGAGTTTTATTCTGACTAGTAGGAAAAGAGTCTTTTGTTCGCTTTGCCTTAAAACAAACATCACAAGGGAAATTGTCCGCAACCTTTAAACCACTTACAGGGACTAAGTGCTCAACTACTTTCGAGCAAGGATGCCTCAACCTTTGATGCCACAATTGAACTTCAGATTCCTTTGATTCTCTCACTGCCAAAATCTACGCTGCGGGTTCCTCTCGAAGGTAGTACAATCCATTCTGCCGCTCACCCGTTCCAATCAGCTTCTTCGAGTCACGGTTCTATATAACACACAAGTTACTAGTGAATTGAACAAAACAATTGAGTTGATCACTTAGTTGAGAAACAGAGACAAAATTGCACTTTAATGCCAGAACGTATAAGACATTATTTAAATAATTATTATCAAATAATTCTACACGTCCTTCTTGCGTAGCCACAAAAGTTTGTCGATCAGGTAAACCAACCAAACAAGGTTCAATAGACTTAATTTGACACAAAATAGTCAAATTTTCACACACATGATTTGTGGCCCCTGTATCGATAATCCAAGCATTATGATCGAATTTACCTGCCATGCAGTCATTAGAAGCGGTAGGATTACCAAAAAGAGTCATCAAGGTTTTCCATTGCTCGGGCGTGAATCCGGGCAGTGGCGTGGAGTGGTTGTTACTTCCCTCACCAACCGGCGAAGCCTTGGTCACGGCTGCCAAATCAGCAACTGTTGCATGCGCTTTAACAGGAGGTTTTCCACGCCCCATTCCGGAGTTCTGTGATTTTCCACGCCCTCCTCATTTGATACCCAGTTTCGGTCTGTCTCCCCACCAGTCCGGGTAACCATTAAGTTCAAAGCAATTCACAATTTCATGACCCGAGTATTTTCAATATGTGCAAATCAACCTGTATTTATCTGTCTTTGCCCCACGTCCAGCCCCCTTTCCATCCGCCCGCACGGCAAAACCCTGATTATTAGGGCGCTCTTCATGAGCTTGGGCAAAACCGCGCACACGCTCTTCTTGCATGGCCTGTTGATAGGTTCGGTTCAAACTAGACAGGGGTTTTTGAGTCAAAAGTACAGTTGTGAACATGTAGGGCCGAAGAAATCGGTGTACAATCCCATCAAAAATTGGTGGAATCACTCTGATTCTCTTCGTTTTACATGTTGACCCCGTCACATCACATGTACATTTACCACGCGTACACGCAATGAGCGGTTCATAGTTGTTCAAATCATCCCACAAACTCTGTAGTTTAGCAAAATACGCCCCCACTGCCATGCCTTTGGTTTGCACACATCTTGCCAAATCAGTTTTGGTTTGATGTATGTGCGGTCCGTCTGTAGAAGCAAAGCGTTCCTCCAGTTCTTGCCAGAGCTTGGCAGCATTTTCATAGCGAGCCAAAGTGGATTTGACATCGGCGTTAATAACATTCAATGGCCACAACACAATCATCGAGTGTAGCGTAAGCCTATCATTCCCGGTGCACGGTGGTGTCAGTTTTGTAATAGTTCCGTCAACGAACACAAATTTATGCCTTGCTCGTAAAGCCAAGCGGACGGCGCTGGACCAATCATCGTAGTTGTTGCCGGTAAAACGAACCGGAGTAATGAACTCACCGGGTCAGTCTTGAGGACCCAAGAAATACGGCGAAGTGTGATCGATCTTCGTCGTGGTATCGCCGGACGTTGCACTGTCTTCATCGTTCGCCATGCTTCCAGGATCGGGCTTATGAAAGCTCTGTGAGTATCACATACATCATTAATATAGCCACATGGCTTGCCTCAAAATGGCTAACCCTAAACCAATATAGGTAAGAAGTCTAAATGGAATCAACTTCCAAAATTACAATGAGGCTAAAATCCAGTTATAATAACTGAATTTTACTTGAATCCATCTTATTCTCTATTAACGGAAAAATGTAAAAAAAATAAAGTAAAAGCTGTGTGGTTCAAGTTTGTGCGGACGAGAGAAAATTATCTGGAACCACAAATTCTTTACTAAAAAGGAAAAATGACAAAGTTAGTGGGACAACTAAAAAAGAAAGTTGGCAAAGTTTTAAGGAACGAAGGAGTACATACTTAACATCGAAGTGTGAATTTTTTCATTTCATAATTTTCCAGGAAAACAATAAAAGACGTGACAAACATTTCTTATAATAATTTAATTAATGTTTTACTAAACTGATGATGTACAAAAATATTAAGTGTACTTTATTAACGGTGTTCGAATGTAAGTAAAAACTATATTAACCAAATTATACACTCTTTAATTTCATATGAACCGAGTCTATAATAAAGTTTTGTCGAAGTAGAAAGATGCCGATAGCCTAATAGAATTAAAAAGGGACCCAAAGGTTCTTTGTAAAATACCTATATGTAGACAGTAGAGGAACAGAATAGAACAGGTTGGCCTAGGTCTAGATATAAGGGCTGCCGCGCCATAGGACAAAGGCATTTGGTCCAAGTCCAATGCCCCTAAAATTAAACAGGAAAACGGAGTCTATGACTAATTCAATCAAGCAATAAGGGAGCCAAATGATTCCAGTCGGCTGGTGAGTGTTTTTTTCTGTGTTTGTACATATTTAATATTGCAACGTACAAGTTGTGTTATGTTCCCCCAAGTGTCCGACATTTAGCTAGCAATATATATTGCGACTATCTTAGCTAGCTGGCTTGTATTATACCTATACTCAAATACTCCATATCATATACTCCGTATATTCCCAAAATCCACAATGACAATTTGAGTTCTTTTAAAAAATTGCTCTAAGAAAGAATAACACATGGCAGAAATGGGGAAGTGCGAGTAAAATTTATGTTTTACTCAAATAAGATGTATTTCATCAATTCATTCATCCTAAAAGAAGAATAAAAGTCATTAGTGCTTCTTTTCTTTGGTGATAATATATGAGTCGCTTTTGAAGAAAATATTAGGGTGAATGGGTACCGGATCATACTTATAGGACACTTGTTGTTTTCAACATTTTTATCACAAGATTTACTCATTTTTATCAAATAATTTCCTTTTCCTACAATATTTTTAAACTCCTTGCAGTTTATTGAAATTTAGTATGTTTTTTAATCTGTCCCCAAACCAGACTATACCAGAACAGACCAAATCAGACTTGAGTAGTTATAAAAATACAATGAAATCGGACCAGATCAGATCATATTAGACCGGCAAATTATAGTCCAAGTAAAAACATCCTTGCTATCTATCGACTTCCCATAAAACTTTGCTAAATTGACTTTTCTTGAATTTGTCAATGATATTTAACTTTGGATGATAATTTCATATAATTTTTGAATTTTATACTAGTATAACTTCTTATATAATATTGATCAAACCTGGCCATCATTAATCAACAAATTAGTTAAAATGATCATGTTTGGTGGGATGGGAAGAACGACTTGAATATGTAGAAGTTTCGTATTTTAGGCTACTCGATCTGATAAAGAACATCATATATATCATATCATTACTTTAATTATACTTTGTAAGATAAATTAACTGTTATGTACATATAGATAAACGTTGAGGATAGAGAGGACAAAGTGGATTTGATTATACAAGAATAATCAAGATAACAAGATACACACATTATCCATATTTCCAAAAAAAGAAAGACACATCCATGTGAAGCTTTATTTTGATAATCTCTTCACCTGGCATGTTTTGCTCACTTGATGATTTCCCAATAATAACATGTCTTCTTGTATGCGTATATATATAGAGCAAGTCAATGCCTAGCTACTCCATCCATCCATCATATATACATCAAACCACTAGCTACCTACTATAAGTGCTTATTAGCTTGGGAATATATACTTAGCTTATTCGAGAAATATATATATCATCATATCTTTATTTGTTGTTAAAGTACTACACAAGATAAAATGGGGATCATGAAACTAGTCGGGATATCTGAGGCAAAGAAGAAGCTTGGAAGAACGATAAACCCGAGGGGAAGGAACAACAACGAGAGTAGCGACGAAGCGGTGGTTCCGAGGGGGCACTTCGCCGTGTACGTCGGAGAAGCACGGCGGCGGTTCGTGGTTCCGATCGAGTATTTGGCGCACGCGCTGTTCCAAGATCTTTTGAGTTGGGCGGAGCAAGAGTTTGGGTATGAGCATCCCACCGGCGGGCTGACAATCCCATGCACTGAGGAATACTTTTTAAGCCTCATTTCCATTCTCAGCTCTCACCAATGATCATAACACATTCATGCATGCATAATTGCTTATACATCCAGGGCAATATATATAGGAATTCATATTATTGATCTTGATCAATTTTTTTTACCATGCATGGGTTATGGTAAAATATGGATTTAGTACTAAGGTACTGCATTATTAATTATTAATATATCGCCAAGATTATTTGGAAGAGCTGTACTATATATACTTATAATGTGACATATGAAGTTTCCGTATACATTGAAAATGCAAGTTGATTGACTTTTAATTTCATTGACTCGAACTTGACAACTTTGTCATAGTTTCTTTTTTTTTCTTAATTACATTTGGATATTATTTTAACCAGAAGGAAAAATTAAAACACTTATGGATGTATGATGTATCCCTGTGTAGGTAAGAATTTACGCATGTTTGGTGATCGATGAAGCAAATGTTGACTTAACTAATTTATCACATACGTAGTACTATGTAGTTAACTAAGGCGTGTGCAATCATGAATAATTCATATTTATACACATTTGTAGGGGTGGGATCGGTCCGGTCTGGGTCGGGTTTTTGCTAAACCCGGAAATTACCCGAAAGGTCTCGGGTTATCAAAATCAGGGACCAGAACAAAGCCCATTATATTCGGTCCGAGTCGGGTTTTTGGTAGCCCGGGTTCGGTCAGGGTTCGGGTTGGGCCGGTTAAAGCCCAAACGTGAAATATCTCATTGTTCTTTTATATTTTAACACATTTTTTCAAATAAAATTAATAAAAATACAAACCGCAAATAATAACTCAAATATTAGTCTCCAAAATCACCAACAATTCAAATCCAAAGAAGATAATTATCTTAATATTTTATTTAATTTAAGATGGATATAAATAAATAATATAGGTTTCTCAAAAATTTTACGAAATAAAATTTATAGATAAAAATGTGACTAGAGTTGCTATAAATATATTTTCAATCATGGTCATTACGCTAAACAAAATTGAACATATTTGTAGTCACTAAAAGTTACTAAATCATTTTTTATTCACCGTGATTATAATCGTATATTAGGTAATATTTATAAATTTGTATTCATATATTATATTAATTTTATATTAAAACTAATTGTTTCGGGTTTTTATTGGTCCGAGCCGGGTTATAGATTTTAAGGCCCCTTAATGAGCCCGGGATTTCAAGTTCGGTCCGTTTTTTTATTCGGGCCGGTTAAAAAGAAAAAACATGGACCGGGTTCATAATTTGGATCGATCCAGGGTCGGTTTCTGGGTTTCGGTTCGATTTTTTCCACCCCTACACATTTGGCAAAAATAGCTAGCCCCTACTGATAAAGTTTCCATGAATAATTCTAACTCATTAGCATCTTCACAAAAATGAACCAGGATGAAAGCACTACTAGACTATTACTAGGGGACTTTAAATGAGTGTCACAAGTAGTTTTTCACTTCATACTCCGATCCCTCTATCCCATTAAACTTGGGTATACTGAATTTTTGTGATCAATAATGTTCAATTTTAATTAATGATACCTTTTAATATGAAATTATTCAAATATGAATATTATACAATTTTTTTGTTAAAAGCACTTTTATAAAAGTAAAAGTTTTAAGTTTCACACATATTTAATTATTAAAATCATTGACCAAAGTTTATTCTCATCAACAAGACAAGCCAAATTGGCCAAGCCTTACGTAAGTCAAAGTATGTCAGAAATTGTGACATTTAATACGAGTCACAAAAAATGTGTCAAGAAATGATGATATTAATGTGTTGTAAAATATAGTATCATACATTTGTAACATTAATTTGTTGTAATATAGTATCATACATTTGTAACAATAGGTTTTGTTACGATCTTTTGAAGGGTAGTTCTATATCATTATCCCAAAAAACCGGAAAATGCATCAACAAGCTCGGATCTGTACGCGCGTCTTAGTCACGTATTTCATGTTCAGTTTTATCATGTCATTATAGAGTCATAAGTTCTTTGCTGTTTCTGTTCATCATAAAATATATTCTCATCATACCAACTTATAAAATATTCTCCGTCCCCTTTAACTCCATGTACTAAAGTTACTTTTCAAGATGCCCTTAATAAAATACTTTCTATATTTCTAAAAAAAAAAAAGGTTTCAAAACATGTACAAACATGCATGTCATACAAATTAATGATACATTACTATCATTAATTAAACATCATATAATATACACTTGAATATGTTAATATTCATTTAATAGGGTTTTTGTGGTTTTTTCAATCATGTTTTTTTTGTGGTTTAATAATTAGTTTACAAGTTTTAATTGTATTTTGTAGTTTTTTATAAGCTTTCGTATTAGTTTATACTTTTTGTTTGTTAACATTATGAATAGTATTTTTGTACTATTCAAAGGGCTTATTACTATTACTGATATGCTATTGTTTGTTTGTTATAATTAATTTGTATATTTATGTTTATTCAGGTCATTTTATCAATCAATAGTATTACTACCTCCGTCCCATAAATAACTCCTCTTTTGAATTGGCACACATATTAAGATAGTGGGAAATGTGTGGTGGAGAGTTGTGCAGAGGAGAGAGAAATGTGTAAGAATGATTATGAACCACAAATTCTTTGCCAAAAAAGGAAAGAGGAGATAAATTTGGGACGGACCGAAAAGGAAAGAATGAAGATAATTTTGGGACGGAGGGAGTATTTGATAAGACCATGCATTTATTGTAATTTTATAATTTCAACTACTTACAATACCTAGTTTTAATTTACCAAACATGACTATTTAAAATAGGCAGCTTGTATGAAAAAGCTACCTAGTAAGCTAAGATCTTTTTAATCTACAAGCTTTTCTAGAAAGATTTCCAATTTGTGCTTCAAGAAAAATTCTTATCGTGGATGAATTTTAATTTTCATATTGTGCTTTTGAGATTCACTTTGTAGCATTTTCATTTTAGATCTGGGTGTAAAGTCGGGGAGTGAACAAGATCATTACACAATAAGGTTAAATTATGATATACTACGTAAAAGATTAGGAAAATCGTAACTTCCAAATCTAATCTTAATCCATGTTCAATTTTCTTAAGGTAGGGCTTCAATTCATTCAATCCAATTTGAGACCCGTCTTTAAGACTTAAAATACTAAATACAGGAAAATAACACGAATTAAAGTAGATATTGATATTTTAAATATGTTGTTATTGTGGACATTAAAAAAAATGTTGGGCCAAAAATAATTATTTTTGAGCTCATTTTAAATGTTACCGAGCTACTCTTGATGATATGAAAGTGCTGGTGGGCCACTGTCGGATTTTATTGGGCTGCTCATAATGGTTATTGGGACTTATCCAAAGAAAATTATTAATATGGATCCATTCAGATATAATTTAGTTATTAAATTAATTCGGGTCATTTAAATATCCAATTAATTTAATTATAAATTAAATCTTTAAAAGAATGGACCGGTTCTATTAATTATGAACCCGTTATTAAATAGTTGCCTAACAAATAAGAGGTATGATCCGATTGATAAAGAGAGCAATGAATCTGGTTAAGAAATCCGTATGCATGGAAAATGGTTGTGAACCTTATTAAAAAAAGTTGTCCAGATACATCAAACAAGTGCTGATTTTCTAGCTATTAAAATACAAGCAAATGGAGCCCAAAACTCAATTTAAGTAGGGCTCATGAGGTATGGACGAATTTTTGCAACCCTAGACCATATTTTATCCCCTCCACGCCTATAAATAGAGGTCTCAATTGAGAGGAATGGAAGAGAGAACTTCCAGATGAATAATCGCTGTAGAAAAAGCTCTGAAGAACTCCCGAGAGGCAATGAATTGAACGATTCTGAAGAAGAGGAAAAGATCGATCGAGCCACGATTTTATTAAGAATATACGAATAATCCTTTGTGATTTCGTTCATTCTTGATAAAATAAACCGAAAAAGTTGAAGAACGTTCGAAGATCTGAAGAACGGAGCTCGAAGATTTGAAGAACAATGATTTGAAGATTCGAATATACGAAGAACAAATCTTTAAAGATATTCATATAAAGACTAAATAAAAATTCAATTGAAGATCAAGCCATATATCCCGGGAGGCGCTTAAACAGAAGATCAAGTTGAATTCTTTTGTTGAAACGGTCCTTCAACCATAAAATGGTCCGTTTGTTGAAGATCAAGTCACTTGAAAATCGGAGGCCCTTCAAGCTGAATTCTTTATTCAAGAAGATTTGAAGATTCGAAGAACGAAGATTCGAAGATCCGAAGAACGTTCGAAAGTTTGAAGGATTAGAAATTTAATTTTGAATTAAATTCTTTAATCATATTACTTCAAATTGCAAGTGCAGAATCAGAGAATTCATATTTAGAGATTGTACCCAAAATTCTCATATATTATTATTTGCGATCAATTTTAAGTAAATATTTAAAATTTGTTTCACAGTTATCACATTCTCCGTGGTAGAAAAATCAGTTGAACTGTAACTAATAGATTCACATTTGGGAAATTTTACTACCCTTGTGCAATTCCACCACTGACTAATACTCCGATGTGTTGGGTTCTTTCTTTATTTTTGACCCATGAGGAAAGCCCAACTCTTGAGCCCATCAAAAGTCTTCTTTGACTTTCTATTTTGGGAGCTAATATTAAAAACAGGGTCTGCCATCTATCTATTACTCATGGACAGAAAGAGAGCAGCAGATAAGTGAGAACAATCACAAAACATGAGCTGAAGTGTGCTCATCCCGTTTTTCCAGCAGGCAGCAGCAGAAAACTTCCGTTTCCCGGAGATTGAACCGTTGGATCGTCGTGATTTTTGGACAGCAGCTTCACAGCATCTGAGCCAACATTCTGGACGGTGGAGATCGGGTTTTGAGGTCCGGAGGTCGGGTTTCGTTGGTCTGGACAGTAGCTATTTTTCTGGTGATATTTTTCTTATCTTGGCTCTATTTGATTCCATACACCTTGATGTGCTTACTTCCAAGGATATGATGATTTTGTATGCCTCTAGTATTATCTAGAGAAGACTTTGTACTGCTCCTTTGATGATGATAGTGGATTTAAGCGGCCAAAATGGTCCCGTGGTTTTTCCCTAGTTAACGGGTTTTCCACGCTAAAATTCCGGTGTTTTTGTGTGGTGTGTGCTTACTGTTTTAGCTCATTATATTGGTGTGTGGCAGCAATATTGTGTGTTCTAATTGTATTAAGAACACCCTATTTGTTTGCATCCTCAAAGGTTCATTCAAGTTGGGGAAAGTTTAGCCAAACGGAGATTAATTCCGCATTTTATTAGTTCCGTGTGTGGCTGTTTTTCCCCATCAAATTGGTATCAGAGCCGAGTTCTTCTGTATTGGGTTAGACTTGTTTGAATGATGGAAGCAAACACAAGTAGGATGATCAATTTGAATGGTTCTAATTATCATGTTTGGAAAGGCAAAATGGAAGACCTACTTTATGTGAAGGATTATTATTTGCCTGTGTTTACTACTGATAAACCTGAGAGTAAAACAGATGCAGAGTGGAATATTTTGCATAGACAGGTTTGTGGGTATATTCGCCAATGGGTTGATGATAATGTTTTGAACCATATTAGCGGGGAAACTCATGCTCGCAGTTTGTGGAACAAGCTTGAACAGTTGTATGCTCGAAAGACCGGGAACAATAAATTGTTCTTAATTAAACAGATGATGAGCTTGAAATACCATGATGGAACTCCTGTCACTGATCATTTGAATTCTTTTCAGGGAATCATAAATCAACTTGCAGGAATGGGTATCAAGTTTGAAGATGAGATACAAGGCTTGTGGCTCCTTGGCACTTTACCGGACTCATGGGAGACTTTTAGGACATCATTGTCCAACTCTGCACCAGATGGTATTATCACCATGGAATTAGCTAAAGGCAGTGTTTTAAATGAAGAGATGAGAAGAAAGTCACAAGGTTCCTCTTCACATTCTGATGTCTTAGTTACAGAAAGCAGGGGGAGAAGTCAGAGTAGAGGTCCAGGTAACAAAGGGAAGCATCGAAGTAAATCCAAAGGAAAGTTTGCTGATTTTGAGTGCTATCATTGTGGTAGAAAAGGGCACACAATACGATTCTGCAGGCAATTGAAAAAGGAGAAGAAGAAGAGCGATTACAACAATCAAAAGAACCATAAGAAAGATGAGGGTGGTAATGGCAATGTTGAAGTTAACAGTGCTACCGATGAGTTCCTTATTTGTTCTGATCTTGATATGGTCAACATTGCACATGATGATTCCAGTTGGGTTGTTGATAGTGGTGCTACTTGTCATGTAACATCACAGAGGGATTTTTATTCATCTTACACTCCAGGTAACTTTGGTAATGTTAGGATGGGTAATAATGGACTATCAAAGATTGCAGGCATCGGAGATATTTGTTTGAAGTTTGACACTGGGATAGAGTTGGTTTTACATAATGTAAAACATGTTCCAGATATGAGACTTAATTTGATCTCCGCAGGCTTACTTGATGATGATGGTTACAGCAACAACTTTGGTAATGGAATTTGGAAACTCACTCGTGGTTCTTTGATCGTGGCTAGAGGTAAAAGATGCTCAAAGTTGTACATGACACATCCGAAGATCTTCAAGGATAGGGTCAATGCTGTGGTGAACACTGACATGACTGATTTATGGCATAAGAGACTTGGTCACATGAGTGAAAAGGGGATGTCTCTTTTGTTGAAGAGAAATGTGTTACCGGGTGTGCATGATATTCATCTAAAGAAGTGTTCTCACTGTTTGGCAGGTAAACAGAACAGGGTTTCCTTTAAGAGCCATCCTCCTTCCAGGAAGGAGAGTATACTTGATTTGGTGCATTCTGATGTTTGTGGTCCTATGAAGACTAGGACACTTGGTGGTTGCTCCTACTTTGTCACATTCATTGATGATCACTCCAGAAAGGTATGGGTTTATACCTTGAAATCTAAAGATCAAGTATTTGAGGTGTTTAAGCAGTTTCATGCCTCGGTTGAGAGACAGACTGGAAAGAAGCTCAAGTGTATTCGGACAGATAATGGAGGGGAATACATTGGCCCCTTTGATGCTTATTGTAGAGATCATGGTATTCGACATCAAAAGAGTCCTCCCAAGACACCGCAGCTGAACGGATTAGCAGAGCGGATGAACAGAACTTTGATGGAGCGTGTCAGATGTTTGTTGTCACATGCAGGGCTGCCAAATTCATTCTGGGGAGAAGCTTTGAATACAGCGGTACATGTTATTAATCTAACTCCTTGTGTTCCTTTGTCTTTTGATGTACCTGACAGGGTTTGGAGTGGCAAAGATGCTTCTTACCGTCATTTGAGGGTCTTTGGATGCAAAGCTTTTGTGCACATTCCTAAAGATGAAAGATCAAAGCTTGATGTGAAGTCCAAACCATGTGTTTTCTTGGGTTATGGCCAAGATGAGTTTGGTTACAGATTATATGATCCAGTCCACAAGAAACTTATTCGAAGCCGAGATGTTGTGTTTGTGGAAGATCAAACCTTGAAAGATGCTGAGAAGAAAGATACAGTTCCTCAACATAATGATGATGTTACTGATTTGGATCCAGTGCCTCCTCAGCATGTAGAACCACCTCTTGATAATGATGTTCAGAATGATGAACAACATGATACTGATGTTCCAGAACAGCCAGAGGTGGATGAAGAATTTCATTCAGAGATACCAGTACCAGACGTGCCACCATTTGTCCCACTTAGGCGGTCTACAAGAGATCGTCATCCTTCCACCCGTTTTTCAGCTAATGAGTATGTCTTACTCACTGATGGGGGAGAGCCTGAGTGTTATGCAGAGGCCATGGAAGATGAGCATAAAAGGGAGTGGGTTGAAGCCATGCAAGATGAGATGAATTCCTTACATGAAAATAATACATTTGAGTTGGTGAAGTTGCCTAAAGGCAAGAGAGCTTTGAAGAACAAGTGGGTCTACAAAGTGAAGACTGAAGAGCACACCTCACAACCTAGGTACAAGGCTAGATTGGTGGTCAAAGGGTTCAGTCAGAGAAAGGGTATTGATTTTGATGAGATTTTCTCTCCGGTCGTGAAGATGGGATCTATTCGTGTTGTTCTGGGTTTGGCAGCCAGCCTTGATCTTGAGGTTGAACAGATGGATGTCAAAACAGCTTTCCTTCACGGTGACTTGGATAAAGAAATCTACATGGAGCAACCTGAAGGGTTTCAGGTTAAGGGAAAAGAAGGTTATGTGTGTAGACTTCAAAAGAGTCTTTATGGGTTGAAGCAAGCACCAAGACAGTGGTACAAGAAGTTTGAGTCAGTTATGGGGGAGCAAAATTACCGAAAGACTACTTCAGACCATTGTGTTTTCTTCCAGAGGTTTGATGATGATGATTTCATTATTTTATTGTTATATGTTGATGACATGTTAATTGTTGGCAAGAATGCAGAAAGAATTACTCAGCTGAAGATGCAATTGAGCAAGTCTTTTGCTATGAAAGACTTGGGGCCAGCAAAACAGATTCTTGGCATTCGGATCACTCGAGATAGAGCTTTGAAGAAGCTACACATGTCACAGGAGCAATACATTGAGAAGGTGCTTCGCAGATTCAACATGGACAAAGCTAAAGAGGTTAGTTCACCTCTTACTACCAACTTCAGGTTGACAGATAAAGATTGTCCATCTTCTGAGAAGAAGATTGAAGAGATGGATAAAGTTCCTTATGCCTCAGCTGTAGGGAGCTTGATGTATGCTATGGTGTGCACACGACCTGATATTGCCCATGCAGTAGGTGTTGTTAGTCGTTTTCTGTCAAATCCAGGTAAGAAGCATTGGGAAGCAGTGAAGTGGATTCTCAGATATCTACGTGGTACTTCCAAATTGGGTATAACATTTGGAAATGGGGAGCCAATACTTGTTGGTTATACTGATTCTGATATGGCAGGAAATAAGGACAACATGAAATCCACTTCTGGATATTTGATGACTTTTGCAGGGGGAGCTGTGTCATGGCAATCGAGACTGCAAAAGTGTGTGGTTTTATCCACCACCGAGGCTGAGTATGTGGCTGCAACAGAAGCTTGTAAGGAGCTATTATGGCTTAAAAGGTTTATGCAAGAGATTGGCTTTATGCAACAACGCTATGTGGTTCTTTGTGATAATCAAAGTACCATTCACCTTGCTAAAAATTGTATGTTTCACAAACGAACCAAACATATTGATGTGAGGTATCATTGGATTAGAGATGCACTTGAAGACAAACTGTTTGAACTTGATAAAGTTCATACCAATGATAATGGTGCCGATATGTTGACGAAGGTTCTAGCAAGGGAAAAGTTGAAGGTATGTTGCTCCATCGCCGGTATGGCGAACTCTTCCTCATAAGTCAAAAAGGGGGAGATTTGTTGGGTTCTTTCTTTATTTTTGACCCATGAGGAAAGCCCAACTCTTGAGCCCATCAAAAGTCTTCTTTGACTTTCTATTTTGGGAGCTAATATTAAAAACAGGGTCTGCCATCTATCTATTACTCATGGACAGAAAGAGAGCAGCAGATAAGTGAGAACAATCACAAAACATGAGCTGAAGTGTGCTCATCCCGTTTTTCCAGCAGGCAGCAGCAGAAAACTTCCGTTTCCCGGAGATTGAACCGTTGGATCGTCGTGATTTTTGGACAGCAGCTTCACAGCATCTGAGCCAACATTCTGGACGGTGGAGATCGGGTTTTGAGGTCCGGAGGTCGGGTTTCGTTGGTCTGGACAGTAGCTATTTTTCTGGTGATATTTTTCTTATCTTGGCTCTATTTGATTCCATACACCTTGATGTGCTTACTTCCAAGGATATGATGATTTTGTATGCCTCTAGTATTATCTAGAGAAGACTTTGTACTGCTCCTTTGATGATGATAGTGGATTTAAGCGGCCAAAATGGTCCCGTGGTTTTTCCCTAGTTAACGGGTTTTCCACGCTAAAATTCCGGTGTTTTTGTGTGGTGTGTGCTTACTGTTTTAGCTCATTATATTGGTGTGTGGCAGCAATATTGTGTGTTCTAATTGTATTAAGAACACCCTATTTGTTTGCATCCTCAAAGGTTCATTCAAGTTGGGGAAAGTTTAGCCAAACGGAGATTAATTCCGCATTTTATTGGTTCCGTGTGTGGCTGTTTTTCCCCATCACGATGTTGTTCTTCGATCACATGAGGCTTCTTCAATTGTTCTTGGTTGGGCTGCCAAATCTATTTATTCTCAAGAGATGTTGCATACCATAAGGAATTCAATGATTAATTAGACAAATAGATGTGGTAATTAAATTGAAATGTTGTTTAGTACTACGTAAATAGATCAATGATGAAATTGAAGGGGAGGGGGAATCTGAAGCAACAACCACATAATAAAAGAAAACATTTGCCATCCTTTCCATCGCCGAAGACTTGTTCACAAAATGGAATCCCCGGCCCAAATGTTCGGTTCTATTGTTTTGGTTGATGTTTCAGTATTGGTTTGATTCACTTCTGCACGAGACAAATTTTATACTTAGTGGGTACATACAAATTAAAGGCTAGGGGAGTATTGGCAAATGGCGCAAATATCTCCAATATTGATTCATAATTTATAATTTATCTTTTTTCTCATTGGAATAATTAAAAGTTATTATAAATGTTAATATAATATCGTATAATGAATATGAAGACCGTAATTATTTAACAATGCGTTGTCAATGATCTGAAAAACAAATTAAATTAGGGCATGTTTGGCACAACTAGCTGAAAAGATACTTTTGTGAGCTTTTTAATAGCTGTTAGCTTTTAGTGACTGAAAAGATCTTAAAAATAAAAGGTGGTAGCTTTTTGATGAAAAGCTGACTGTTTGATTTAGTTCGGTTTGGTATACAAGCTGTTAGGATTAATTAATACTAAAAGTCACTAGCTTTTCTTAGATACTACTCCTGGTAGCATCTCAAAAAAGATCTTTTAATTTTTGAAAAGCTCTTAAATATTGTCATGCCAAACACACAACTAGAAGCTTTTAGGAACTTTTTGAACAGTACAAAAGCTAGAAGTCAGGGACTTATGCCCGCCAAACATAGCCTAAATTACTCCATAATATATTAGGTAGGATATCAATATATCATGGAATACGTTGCGGCGTTGCCTACCAAAAGAATACAAATAAGTTGATATTAAAATGAAACAATGAAATAAAATAATAATATATTTTATATTCACAAGGAACAAAAATAGATACTACGTACTACTATAACATAATACTCCCTCCGTCCCGCTATTAACTTCATGGTTTCCTTTTTGGGCCGTCCCAAAACCATCTTCTCATTTCCTTAAATGGAAAGTTATCCTACATCAAAACAGTGTCAAACAGTGTCTAAACAGTGCCAAACAGTGTCTAAACAGTGCCAAACAGTGTCTAAACAGTGCCAAACAGTGTCTAAACAACGCCAAACAGTGTCTAATTAAACAGTAAAATCAAATTTATTTCCTAAATATGTGTAGTTCAAAGTAGGAAGTTAATAGTGGGACAGAGAGAGTAAATGAAATTGGAGAAGAATAATTTAAAATATATATATATACTATCGTATTAAGTTATAAGAAGAGCGGGTGCCGATTCTGAAAAACACAACATGAGGGTCCGATGGAGGTGGCCAATATGTACATGTGAAGAACACTAGCATGCTTGTAGTTAATGCCTACTGCTCTTTATGCTCTTTTCCTACACAACCACTTAATTAGCTAGCTTACATATGTGTGGATTATTAATGATGGTTTTCACATCGATTTAGATTGTAAGGCCGAGGGACGATGCTATTACGGAAGAACCATAGCCTTTTAGCAAAACGTGCAACGGATTTGAACATTTGACACGATACCAATTTAGCACCACACCATTTTTCGACATCTATTTAAGTCCTCGTGTACATGAACAAATACTTGCACCGTATATGGAAAAGCCAAATATGAATCTCTTTCTACAATATCTCTATTAGTAAAGAAATTGCTCAAAACAGATCTAATGGCTTGTTTGGTGATTATGGTTTTCAGTTTATTAGCCATTTGTATATGAAATGTATAAACTTTGATTTCGTGCACTAGATTAATACTCAAAATAAAATAAGTAATGTTAGAGTTACTTTTATTGTTGAATTAACTACATTTATTGCAGTGGATCATTTTAACTATTTCTTAATTGTTATGTTTCTTAATCAAAATATAAATTAAATATAACTTTTCATAATTTAGCAGTTCAGTCAATTCAACAGTTTAAGCAAGAATTTTGATGAAAACGGTTAACAACACAAGAGGGGGGAGAATTGTGTGTGTGTGGAATCGTGACAGTTTTTCGCCAAGTTCTAGTGTGGGATAAGGAGAAATGCAAAATAGTAAAGTATTCAAGGATTTAACGACGAAAAACCCCTTGGCTCAAAGGGATTAAAAAACCTCGACCTCCCTCGGAGGAATTTTAAACAACTTCACTAACAAGCCTTTGAAAGATTACAAGGTAAACTTTCCTAGTCTACCCTTGAGCCACCCCAACTCTATCTCCTCTAGGAAGAGTTATGCATCTCTACCTTGCGAGTAGACAGTTTCTCAGCTTTACAACAAAGCTCCTCACAACACACTTATCCCCAACCCAAGGAAGCTATGCTTAGCTAGTCCTTAATAACCCAATTACATACAATGTAGGAGGAAAAATAAAACTATATCTAGAACTCCGTGGGCAGGTTCAGATGGCTTGAACTTTGAATATTCTCGTGTATATCACTTTTATCTTTCTCTCGTCAAGCGCACACCTTTTCTTCCTTGCTGGTCGAATATATATAGCCTCCTTAAGATGAATCCGTTGGGGCTTTCCTTGTATAGATGATTCTTACCTTGTTGTATTGCTTTCCATCTTGAGAGCTAGCTAAATGACTTCACGTGCATAATTGTTATTTGTTCAAGAATAATTATCCCCAAGAGATTTTATTCTCTTAACATATTTATCCAAGCAACGAATCATTCAAGGAAATCAGAGCATCTTCAATGCTATAATGTTCACGGTGCACATGTGGCATGAGAGATGACCACATAAATATTAGTAAATAAATTATTTCTCTCCTTATTTAAATGATTTTATACAGTTTTGGTAAGTTTTTCTCCGCAATGTCAAGGAGACCGTCTAATGTTGACATTGTTGTTGACATTGCAGAGAAAAACTTACCAAAATTGTATAAAATCATTCAAATAAGGAGAGAAATAATTTATTTGCTAATAATTATGTGGCTATCACTCATGCCACATGTGCACCGTGAACATTATAGCATTGAAGATGCTCTGTCAACATCTCATTTAAAATGATTGTTTTAAAACTTCAAACAAGGATGGTTTTTCAAATTGTATGGAAAGCAGATATTAATACTAGCAATAGTATTCATTCAATATTTTTAGTAAGAAAGCCTTTTCTGTCCTTTTAACATGTTCGAATGAGCTTCGGTCAATCCATTTCAAATGCATCATTAATATTAAAGATACATTCCAAAAGGTTATATGTCTAATAATGCAACCACGTATGGAAAGATATCACACGAAAGACATAACCATGCAAGCACACATAACACATTACAATCCATATATTTCTAACCAATGTCTACCTAAGTATAGTTCGTATAGTAGTTCTAACCAATGTCCACCTGCATGGTTAGTTAGCAATTAATATACCAGTGTTTCACGTGAATCATAGACCAGTTTTGTCCTTCGTTCCAACATGGTTAGTCATCAACAAAACTACGTATTCAACAAATTTCATTAATTTCAACAGATTCAACTCATTTGAATGCTATCAAATGGGCTCTAAATATGAGACCAAGAATTACATAATAACAATTATATTGTACGAATAGAACTCAATGAGATATATACAATGATTCTTCATTTTTTTAAGAATACAGCGATTCTTCATTTGAAAAGTCACACATAATTATGCTAAGCTAGGAACTCTAAATGGAAGAATCTTGCATAGGTACAATTGGGACTAATTAAATACTTCGTACAAATTAGTACAATATGTGAAAAGATCGAATGAGTCAATACTCACTTGTTCATATGATATGAATCTGTGCTCATAGTGTCAGTGCATGAACATTATTATAAGCATTATTATTAATAGTAATAGTGTTTGAAAATAGCCATGATGATGAAATTCAATAATAATTTAACATATAAAAGTTTAATCGGTTATGTCTAAAATAAGTGCAAATATTTATGAATTCATTTTATACTTTCATTTTTATTTCCAAGTAATATTAAATTCAAAAGAATGGATACCATTCAAATCAATCGAAGCTCTTGTTCCGCCCCTGTTTTGTCCAAATTCATTATGGGAAAACATTTTGAAGAATTGTCCGATCCCAAATTTCTTTGGGAAATTCTGTGGTGCACCTCTAAATTTTGCATGTATGGTACACCTTCTTATGTAGGCAAATAAAACAATGCCACATGGACATTAAATCCATATATATTTTAATTATTTCCCATGTGGTACAATATTATTGGTCCCCCTATGGTACAATTTTAAGGGATGCACCATAGAATTCCCCAACTTCTTTTCAAACATGCATTATATATTTGCGGTTAATGTTACTCCATTCTCCCCTTATACTAAATTTGTAATTCTTATTACTATGTATTATTTCTCTCATATAAAAAATTCAATCACACAATTTTCGTTTTATTATATCTCGTGGTAGTCAAAATTGTCAAACTTTTGAGGGACGGGTCGATTTATATTTCTCTTTGCTAGATAGGTAGTACTACATATGTTTTAGTCACTCAATTTTGTATACTTATTTGCATAGTTTTCTTGACATTAAATTTTCTCTCTTAGGATGTTTTCTTTTGGACTGAAATTTGCTAGTCTGGTCTGGTCTGGTTTGGTAAACATTGGGTCTTTGTGTATTTTATAATCGCGGAAGTCTGATCTGGTCTGTTCTGGGATTGAAAACAATCCTTAGTACGTAGTCTATCAGGGAGGATGGGATCGATGGTATTATTCCAAAAGGCAAAAGAGACATAAGAGATCAGAACATGGTGGCCTAGTTTAAGATTTAAAGACTGCCAAAGATCAGACAAGGCACATTTCAAGACAAAGGCAGTTCTCAGCCAAGTCCAATGCCCCAAAAATTAAACCCAAAAATGGAGAACTCTCTGACCAATTCAATGAAAAAGAAGGCAGGGAAATGGTTGAAGTCGGCTGGTGAGTTGATTTTCATGTTTGTACATAATTAATAAATCGTATTCTTCAACGTACAAGTTGTGGATTGCTCCCCAAACTGGCCGATATGTAGGCCAATCTTATATTGTGCCTATCTTGGCTATGTAGGCCGGTAGCTAGCTAGAGTACTAGCACGTATATACATATTCCAATTCAAACGGTGGAATTGCCCAGACGCCCCACGCCCCGACCTAATAGAATGATGAAAGAGTAAATCATAATGTGACCTCAAATAGTTTCTGGGTTAGCGGGGTGATTTGATCGAGACCTAGTGTACACAACGAGTCATGGTATTGGATGGAACTCTCACGTCACCGCTCCCGACCAGACATTGAACCTGAGACCTCAACCAACCATCACACTCAAACAACTATAATGCTACCTGTGTGGGTTAAGTATATACATATTCCATACATACTAGCTACGACGTAGTATGAGATAGTCGATTCAATCGGATTATATTAGAGAGACAAATCCACGTGATGGTTTAATTTGGTATATTCTTGAGCTGGCATGCATCTTCCCCTTCTCATCATTTTCCAATAATAGAATGTGCTCATATATATAGAGCCAGTCAGCACTAAGCTACGTACTCCAATCTCGGAAATTCACATTCTAGCTATTCATCCATCCTTGAAATTAAAGACACTTTTATTTCGATTATCTTACATATCTAATCAATAAAATGGGGATCATGAAACTAGTGGGGATGGCCGAGGCAAAGAAGAAGCTTGGAAGAACATTAACTCCTAGGGGCAGGAATAAAAACGAGAGTAGCGACGAAGCGGTTGTTCCGAAGGGGCACTTCGCCGTGTACGTCGGAGAAGCGCGGCGGCGGTTCGTCGTTCCGATCGAGTATTTGACGCATGCTTTGTTCCAGGATCTGTTGAGTTGGGCGGAGCAAGAGTTTGGGTATGAGCACCCCACCGGCGGTCTGACAATCCCATGCAGTGAGGATTACTTCTTAAGCCTCACTTCCCTTCTTAGCTCCCAGCAATCGCAATAGGAGATGTAATCTATGGGCTACTCAATTACGAGTGATATAGTAGTTTAGAACGACATGTTTATAGTAGGAATTGAATTGATATTTTAGTCTTGACCATAATATTTACCGCCTTGGTAAAATATACTTGGGTTATATGGATATTGTTACGTACGTACGTTGGTACGATTTGAGTCCAAATAATTGTACCAATAACACTTAATGAGACATCTTCATTCACCATTCTCATATATTCAGATTTTCATGATTCTTTTGATCTTTAAATTGTTGGCACATAATTGTTTCAAAAATAATATCACACCCTTAAATGACCTTAGCTTAAATCACCATCTCACAATAATACATCGTTTGAAGATTATTGATTTTGAATGTTTGAGTTTTACACTAGACCACATCAAATTCAAACATATCATCCAAAATCAAGTCATTTTTTCACTTTTGTAAAATGCATATAGAACAAACATACATCAATCTGACCAGAAGCTATCATGTCACTCAGGGATGGATTTAGGGGGGGGGGGGCGCGGGGGGCGACCGCCCCCCTTGGACATTCAATTCTTTTTACCATATATGTAATATTTTCATAAAACTTTCATAATTTAATTAGATTCGCCCCCCTTAGCTTTTAATTTTCAAAATTAATATATATAGTCTTACATAATGTAATACTTAATTGGAGATTTAAAAGAAGAAACATCTAAAATAATTTACATAACTTAAACAAATAAACAATAGAGTAACTCGTTATTTAAGATTTAGGATACTTATTATATAAGAATTCCTAGTTTTGTAATGTTTAATTATCTTTATTAGATAACAAGTACTGGATTTCGTAAAACATATATTAAACAATATTAAATACCAGACACACTAATTACACAATTTTTAGATCACGTGAAATGAATCCAAAATTTAAATATTTATAGACATTAGATTACATAATTAATTTACTTCTTGCTTTCTAAAAATAATTTATTGCATGGATAATAAACTCTAAATTATTATAGAATTAATAAAAATATTAAAATCTAATATGCACCATATGTGTGTGTGTATGTGGTGCATATTATTCTAAAAATAACAATCCCATACCTACTAGTATACTACTATTGTAATATTAAGAAAACTTCTCATGAGTCATGACTCACGAACACTCTCCTTGGTGGACAAAAATTACAATTCAATAACCGATTCATGAGGTTAAACAATGTAGAAGTTATTGAAAATGTATTGGTTGATGTCTTTGTCATCGTCTAAACTTAGAATGTAATAGATTTAAATGTCGTTCGGGATGTGCATGTATTAATGTCATTTTTTGAATACAAATAGCCGCATAGCCCTACAGTAGCAAAAAAAAAATTCGCCCCGCTATACTAGGGGAAAAAATTTCACCCCACTACACTAACAAAAAAAAAAATCACCCCCTACACTAACGAAAAATTTCGCCCCCCTTGACTCAGAATCCTGGATCCGTCCCTGATGTCACTCTTAAACAGTTATGTTAACAAGTGTTACTGCTTAGATGAAATTTGAATTAACTAAACAAAGGTTGTTCACATTTACATAAATTATAATTATATTAGTGATATTTATATATTTCAAAAGTCTAGAGCATTCATTGTTTCAAAATGAGTGGATTAAATCTTTTTTCATTAAAAAATTGGTATAAAATTTTGATCCTTAATGTACAACACAAAATACAAAAACTGTATCAGTATAACATAAAGGAAAAATTGATAGTAGTAATCCCAACTATTGGCGATTCGCTTATAATAATCTCAATTATCGATTATTTCAAAATAATCTCAACTTCAAAGACCTTCCTCCAATAATGGTCCGACGTGACCGGCTATGAATAAATTCCTATAAATTCTAAAGTGGATGAGAAGAAATCTAACAAGTAATCCCTATAAATAATCCCAATTTTTAATTTTTACGCTTAATTTTTATTTGAAATTCACTTGTTATCTAATCATGGACCATTATTGGCGGAAAGTCCATATAGTTAGGATTATACAAAAATAATCAATAGTTGAGATTATTGTTAGCGGACCGACAATAGTTGAGATTATTATTTTCAATTTTTCCTAACATAAAAGGGCATTATGTAGTCATATATTAGGAATCATTACCATAGTTCTGATGTAGCACATTTTGTTTCAAACGATCTACCGTACATTTTATGTGCATTAATGCACTATTTGCATACAATAATACAATCTTTAAATGCACAATGAACTCTAAAATATTTATCAAAATGACATTCTATTTTTTTTAAATAATCGCATGCATCCATCAGATTTATTAGATGATTAGATCAATGACCATACACAATCTTATAAAAAGAGTGCATTTTAGGTCAAAGATAAGAATTAATCATCAAATACAACCTTCACGGTGAAAACTTATACAAGTACTACGTATGAGTTATATTGTCTTTCCCTGATAGGTGTTTAAGTAAGAAAGGGGTCCGGATTAAAATGATCAAAAGTAAAAGTGAACAAGAAAACTAAAATAATTAAGAACTACTCACTGGCAGGGTATTATCAATGATTAATTAGTTAGTCCAACACCCGAAGAAGACGCCCTTAGTTATTCAGAGTCCATTGTATATAAGGAGGTATCGGCCGCCCCTAAATTTACATCATTAATTGAAATGGACCATATATAAATGCTTCGTAGTATTATTAAATACAATATGTTCTACACTTGAAGGAAATAAGTGTTGCAAGCTAAGCTGGTTGTCGTTACGTTGATGGCTGTACGTTGTGTTCACCGTACAAATCCTACCATTCGGTCTTCCTTCCATGGATCTTCACCGACGTTTACATTTAAACCATAAAAATGGTTTCAAATCAAATAAAAATACTCCCTCTATTCCAAATTATTTTGCAAAGTCAACATTTTTAATTTAGTCAATCAATAATAAAAGTCAATACTCCGTATCGATAATTAGTTCAATTTTTAATAATTAATATATATATATATTCAGAAACTACATTAAAATCTCTTTCAAATTGTAGATTTCAAATTAGAATATAATTAAAATTTGACATCCTAATTAATCGAATAAAATGAAACTGTTTGATCAAGAAAAGTCAAATTTGCAAATCAATTTGGGACGGAGGTAGTATACAACAAGATATGATCAAATTTCGATGTAACGTAATATATACTAAACTTAACCTCAATGATCACCATGGTTGTTTGTAATACTATCTATATACATGTTTTTGAATTTTAGTGTGATATGTACCAATCCTTTATTATTTGGAAGTAATTAATTGCTAGACTATGTGTTGTGATTTCATTTTGGTGCAATATGTACTAATGTGTTCTTTTATATTTGGTAAATAAAGTACGTATGACTATGAGTTTTAAACTTTAATGTATCTCAAATTAGAAAAAACGGATTCAAGTGAAATAAAATAGATATGGTACTTTTATAATTCAGCCAAATATTTGGTGTCCTAGCTTGTTTAGAGTTTTATTTTCGAATTTCGGTCCTATTATACTCTCAATTGAAGTTGATATTTGGCATGCTCCCTAAAGTGGACAATATGTAGGCCAATATATATTGGAACTATCTTAGCTACGTACGCAGCTAGCAATACTAGCACGTAAATATACACTCCATATGAGATAGTCGATTCAATTGGATTACACTAATAGACACATCCACGTGAAAGTTTAATTTGCTATATTATTCTTGAGCTGGCATGCATATATCTTTCCCTTAATTATGATCGCATTTTCTTAGAATAGAATTTCCCGGCCTATATATAAAGCCAGTAACCACTTAGCTCCGTACTCCATTCCTGAAAACTCACATATACATCCATCATTGAAATTATATACTCAAATACTTCATCCGTTCTTTACTAATTGCAACATTGTGATTTTCGTAAAATGGGGATCATGAAACTAGTCGGGATGTCAGAAGCAAAGAAGAAGCTTGGAAGAACGTTGTCTCCGAGGGGGAGGAAGAACAACGAGAGTAGCGACGAAGCGGTTGTTCCGAAGGGGCACTTCGCCGTGTACGTCGGAGAAGCACGGAGGCGGTTCGTGGTTCCGATCGAATATTTGACACACGCTTTGTTCCAAGATCTTTTGAGTTGGGCGGAACAAGAGTTTGGGTATGAGCATCCCACCGGTGGGCTGACAATCCCATGTAGTGAGGATTACTTCTTAAGCCTCACTTCCCTTCTTAGCTCCCAGGAATCGTAATGAAATCTATTGGATACTCACTTACTAGCTATAGTAGTTTAGACCGACACGTTTTATAGTAGGAATTCGTATTTAGTCTTGACCACATTTGTTTACCGCAGTGGTAAAATATACGGAGTATATGGATATTGTAAACGTGTATGTACGATTATACGTACGTATGTTTTGACTCCAAATAAATGTAGTACGTATTGTACAATGCCATTTATAAAGCTTGATGAATTAAACAGTACGTACGGCTACTCATTCCTTCCTTATAAGTTATGAGTGACTAAAGGTGTGTTTGCAAACACTTTTAAAAAGTGCTTTTCAACTTTTTTTTCAAAAAAACCGAAACAGGGTGTTTGCAAACCCAAAAATCTGATTAATTAAAGCACTTTTAAGCTAAAATCTCAAAGCTGGTTGAAGGGTGCTTCTAATAGCTTTTTGGTATTTTTGTAATTAATTCAAACTTTAGGGATAATAATTAGGTTGAATATTTCAATTAATCCCAAACTAACCCTGCGCTCACCAGTTTCCCGTCATCTTCTTTGTTCTGCCACGCACCACACTCCTCAAGTCTGCCATGTCCATACCTTTGTTTTGCAAACCTCACTACTTCAATTCGGCCCATTGCTCTTCGTTCCAAACTCTTCCCTCTCAATTACCAGTTTTAATTCCATCAGTCCCTCATTAATTCTCCCAATGGGCAATGCTTCCGATTGTGTTATTGCAATATTGTTTCTAGCCATTTGATTTGTAACTCCATGTCCGACCTTCCTCTGCTGCTAACCCAATTTCATACGGAGAAAATGAATTCGATGTGGAAACAAGTCAAATTTTGTGGGTATGACAACTTCTGCACTGAGTCACCGACTTGCAGGCACAGGGGAATGACAAGTCCGGAGGAAAGAATAGGAAGAACCCATGGACCTCCAATTTTGTTTATGCAAGGCCAATTTTGTACTTTAACAAAATATTCCATCAAAAACCACCTTTTTATCAAACACTTCAACTTTTACCTTTTATTTAAAATCACTTCTGTCTACAAACACTACCTACTTCTACTACAAATCACTTTTCCAATAATCTCTTAAATAAATCACTTTTAAAAAGCACAAGCAAACGCAAACACTCCCTAAATATTTCTAAGTTCGTCCCAAAATGATAAATTTTGTATTTTCTTTTTGGGTGTTTCAAAATGATAGTCATGTTTTCCTTTTTGGTAAGAAAAAAAAGTGGATTACCATTTATATCTCTTCTTTTTAATGAAAAATAAAAGTAAAAGGACGAATAGTACAATAAAGTAAGGTTCTTTATGTTATTCTACCACATTTTCTTAATATTTGAGATCAAAAAATATAGAACCATCAATTTGGGATAGAGGGAGTACTACTAGCTTAGTATGAATTGTTTTATCAAAATAAATTTCATTCAATTTAAAGGATGAACATGAAAAGGAAAGAAAGTAAGGATGTTTAACACTTTTACTAGCTTGGACTATAATTTGCTACTCTGATCTGGTCTAGTCTGTTTAAGTCTCGTCTGCTCTGTTTAAGTCTAGTCTGATCTGAACTTGTCTACTCTGGTCTGGTACACGTCTGGTCTTTGAGTATTTTATAACTACGATAGTCAAGTCTTGTCTGGTCTGGTCTAGGGGTGGACCGGGTCGGGTCGGGCTCTGGGTCAGGCTTGGGTGGGCTTCAGGTCCAAAATATTCAGGCCCGATACCCCCACCTCCAACCCCCCCCAAACCACCCAGCCCCACCCACCTAGCACCCATTCCAATGGGGAAAAAACAAAAATTGGGCCCAGACCAGGCTTGGCCTGTCCGGGTCGGTCACCTTAAAACACAACCCGTGTCGGGTCACCGGGCCTGGTCCCAGACCGAGTCTTGGGTCGGGTCGGGTCGGCACGTCCCAGTCCACCACTAGTCTGGCCTGTTTATGTCTGGTTTGGTCTAAATGGGTCTGTTTAAGTCTGATCTGATCTGATTTGATTTGTTTAAGTCAAGTCTGATCTACCGCTGAAAACCGTCAGTCCTAACTAATAAGGCATTGGGGCAACCGGACAACATATTACATAAGCATGTATCTAGCTTGCCCGTTGGGTTTTTACTCTTGGAATATTAAAAAGGCTTGCCGTGTAAGCATATATACAAATGACATTACACTACACTAATGAAATTAAGAACATAAAAATCACTCTCATGTTATGAAATGTTTTTCATAACATTTCAAAAAAAATGTTTTTCATTATAGGCTAGACAAAAATATAGACAAAGTTCTAAAATAAGATTAAGTACATTTTATTACTCCCACATTATTAAGATGTATTTTTCACTAGAAGACCAAAATATAGACAAAGTTTCAAAATAAGATTAAATACTTCGTACATTTTATTCCCAAGATAAAACTAATTTGTGATATTAAAAGAATAATTTGATTAAAGATTCTCAAAATATGAGTAAATAATACTTATTCTTAGAATAAAATAAAAAAAGACTTATTTAAGAAATTTTCCTAAAAATTAAAATCCGATTTTTATCATTTTATGTTAAATAAAACTGAACAAGAACATTCTACATCAATATTGATACACACGATAAACTTAAATACAAAGAACTAAAAGTGATTTCAATTTATATATCACCTTAATTATGAAGAAAAATTTAGGGGTGGGATCAATTCGGTTATTAAAAAGAAAACTATGAGCCATTTGAAGAACTATTAATCCAATATCAGTTTGTTCTGGATCTTATTTTAAGAATCGATAGTATCATATCAGTGGAATTTTGGTATGTTACCAGTTAATCGCTAAGAAATAAAAAATGTATTTAGCAATTATTTAGTTGCATCATTAAACCACTGACACATAAAAATATGATATCAAACTAAAAACATTTAAGTGTAGATAAGTAAACAAATTTCAACAAACTAAATTTTAAAGGAAAAACAATTATTAAAAAGAAAAACTCTACTGCACCTATGCACAAGTCACATGTAGCAATGATTGTAATAGTTATGTAACGATTATTATTCTTACTCATTGATTAGTGTAGTATTACATTGAATCATATATAAAGAGATCGAGTTTGTTGATCATTCTCCAAATTCAAATTTTCGAATTAATAAAAGTACACCTTAATTCTTAAACCTCATTTATTCTTGTAGAACTTCGCATTACAAGATGAATTACATTTATTTCATTTATCTATTTAATTATTTAATTTTAATGAATGTTACTTAACATCATTCTAGTTAAAACTTGTGTTTTTCATAAAATTAATAAATATCATTCATATGAAATCCATAGATTAATGCAAATTAACATATTTTTTCATAAAAGTCTATGAATTTAAGATTCTATGAATTTAACAGTCGATAAACTTTTTTTAAAGTCCATGGGTTAAAAAACATACTATGTATATAAAATATCACAATCCATATACAACACACCCCTTTAATCTAAACTTTTATTTCCATCTTGACCTGACACATTTATTTAAATAAACTTATATGATTGTTCTTGATATAAAAAATGAGATAAACGATATCAGATCAATTCAATGCACATTTTTTTGAAAAGAATTGAAGTTACGTTACAATTTTTTGGGCATCTGGATTTTCTAGAATACATTTGTGATATACGAATTACAAACTTAAACACTAAAACATATATGAGGTGAAAGCACAATATTTCACAACATGATTTTTTTGGATAAAGAAAAAAATATGAAAATTTCACATGATTAAAATAGGGACCCAAAGGTTTTAAAGAATGTAGACATAAAACTGAACACGCCTGCCTCCGTATAAGGGTTGCCATAGACAAGGCCACAAGACAAATTAAAGATAGTCCAGCCACGTTCGGTGCTCCTAAATTGAAAACATCATTACATCAACCTTTATATCCCTTTTGGACAATTATTTTCAAAAGGCACATAAGTCTAATCTGATCAGATATGGTCTTATTGTTGAGTCCAATATTATTTGTTTGTATCGAGTTGATTCTTATTTGGTCTGATCTGACCACATACATTTAGAAATAAAAATGCCTTTAGTTTGACCTGCTAAATCTAAAAGTACTCAAGTAGTTAAGAAAAAGGAATGATGAATTTATTGAAAGAAATGGTGTTCCTAGCTCATGTTTATTTAGTTTTATAAATAAATAAAAAAGTATAGCTAGGTGGATATATATGAATGAATTTCTTTGCTAGTACATATTGAATATCTTGCAAGGTACAAGTTTTGGTTTGCTCCCCCATGGCCAATGCGTAGGCCACTACACATTGTGACTATCTAACCTTGGTAGCCAGCAATGGTAGCATGCAATATATACATCACGTGAAGCTTTATTTCGCCAAAACTTCAGCTGACATTATCTTTCCATCTCATCTCATGTGATAATTTTACAATAATAGAATGTTTCTATGTATATAAAGAGCTAGTCAATACCTATCTACTCCAACAACCACTACCTATACTAGCTTTGTTGACTTCAAAGATTGCTTGAAACTTGAAAGTTCACTTCAAATATTCTCCCTTTACTTACCTCAAATAGGAGTACAAATAAAATGGGGTTGATGAGACTAGTGGGGATATCCCAAACAAAGAAAAAGTTTGCAAGAACAATGTCTCCCAAAAAAGGAAGCATTAGTAACCTTTGTACGAGGAGTTGGAAAAACGAGAGTAGGGACGAAGTTGTCGTTCCGAAGGGGCACTTCGCCGTGTACGTCGGCGAAGCGCGGCGGCGGTTTGTGGTTCCGATAGGTTACTTGAGGAATGCAATGTTCCTGGATTTGTTGGATTGGGCAGAGCAAGAGTTTGGGTTTGACCATCCCACCGGCGCTCTTACCATACCATGTAGCGAGGATTACTTTATATGCCTCGCCTCACTACTCAACTCCCAATCATAGTCCTAGCTTGGCCTAGCTAGCTCACAATATATCTTCTATCTACCTCTCCTTTAATTAGTGTGTAACGACAACTTCAAGTAGTAGTAGTAATTACTCATCACATATATATTCGTGATGACCACAATTTTGATGTGTACGTTTGACTTTCAAAGCTAAGATGAATGAATGAAAGAAATTGCTTATAAAACACACATAAATGCATAAATAGAAGTACATTGTTTTGTTTTGAAAATTGGATTTGTTTGGTTCCGTAAAAAACGGAAATCTTTCCAATTAAAAGTTGGGAAATTGGAAACGGATAACCATTATACTATAAATCTCACCTTTCACAAAGATAATATTTTGCAAAGATAAGAAAATAACTTGGACTAGCAGGTCATTAACCGGTCAGGGTCCAGCGAGTGAAGATGGGGGGCAAAAGTTCGATTATCCTTGGACCAGATTGAGACATGCATCAGCCTGCCTCAATCCTGTTTTTTAATTCATCCCGTGTTTTTCCTTCTTCACCTTGATCTTCTCTTGTGTGCTCCTTCCACATTCTCCTTCTGATCTCTTCTTGTCACCTGGTCTATTCTTGGTATCACTTGATTCTGGAGGAGGGCAAAGCATCCGGTCATCCAAAATATCAATCACGATGGAGCACCAGAGAAACCAACCTATGAAGAACTCCAATTCCGCCGAAGGCTGCGCATGAACCCAAACCCATCCCATTAGACCATGAGTCATTTCCATGTTTTGCTAAACTCTTTAACAGGGAATGAAAATTGTTGGGTCCTTCAGTTAGCCAAAAAGCTCCAATTTATACGTAGTACGTAGTCCTATGAAACTTTGACACGAAAGCCATCATTGGATATGATTAATGTTACATGTTTTACACTAAATTCAATTCATATGAACATGGATAAATTTGTTACATTTAAGGTATGATTGCACACATTTAATTTTCACTTATATGTTATTTGGACAAATTAAATGTAACATTTTATTATCATTTGACAAATGAAAGTATCGATCATTACTTCTAATTATAAGGCAAAGGCAGTTACCTCTCGGAATCGATGTGCAGTTCAATGCAGAGATGATCGACCAACCATGGGTGTTTGGGAGCATCGCCCGTTAATTATTAGGATCTATCATATTAAATCATTAATTACTAGTGATTATATATTGGGGGTGTTTGGCAAATGACCTTTCAGCAAAAAAAAATTGTGGTTTGGTCATTATTGGCGTTTTTAATAAGTGAAACTAACATTGTTTGGTAAATAGCGGTTCGACGCTAGTGCTTTTGTATGAAATCGCTAAAATGGAAATGCTGCAAATAGTAGAGTTTTGGGTTAGCGTTTTGATATATGGTATTTTCAATTAATTTCATGTGCAAACAGCTAAATTTAGCAAACTTTTTTTGACAACCTGTCAACTTATTGCGCTAGTCAAACCCGTTGATTGAATCCACTATTGACAATTCGCTAACATAATCCGCTATCTGCTAACCGCTAACCGCTAAATGTCAAACATGTTCATTCTCCAAGCTCGATCAAATAAAAAAATTTAAGAACCCAATTCATAATTTACATTCACTATTTAGATCCAGATCTCCCTTACCAAAGACTTGCAAGGTTTCATCATCAATTCTTTTCATAGGCTAAATAAGTCATGGTTCTTGTGATTGAATTGTTGAGGTCAGTTTGCGCACTAACAACGGTTAAAAAGTGCTGATTTAACCCTTTTCTGTTGACGTCCATGTTTTTTTTCATTTGACCCCATGTCATATTATTGTCATACGAGTATACTCGGTATTACTACCTCCGTTCTCTTTTAATTACAACGTAGGACTTTTTTTACTATTCACAGATTCTACTTTGACTACATTTTATTAATTAATGTATTATGAATTAAATTTTTAAAAAATATTTTTAAATTCCTCTCATAATAAATTTTCAAAATCTGATTTTTTTAATTTTTTTATTAATAAGGAATGAAAGATATCAACGGTCAAACTTGTGCGTTGGTAAGCGTGAAAAGTGGAATGTTGCAATTAAAAAGGAACGGAGGAAGTATATAGTGTAGTACTACCTCCGTCCCATAATGGTTGTCTACTTTCGATTTGACACGATTATTAATAAAGTAGTTGAAAAGTAAAAGTTGTTGTTGAGATTTGAGTTGAATAAAGTGAATTAATAAGAACCACATATTTCATCCAAAAAGAAAACAAGACATTCATTATGGGACAACTCAAAAAGGAAAGTAAGATAACAAAAATGGGACGGAGGGAGTAGCAATTACTTGCATTGGTGATTGGTACATAAAAATGAACATATTGTACCTATCATGCATTTATTTAGTTCGTCTCATTATTCCATCATTTATTTGTATTTAAGTGATTCAATTACAATATAATAATTGATCTATACCGATCTAATATAGAAATTGCCCAATTAGGATGTTTTTACTTGGATTGTAATTTGTCTTAGATCAGACTAGACCAGAACAAATCAGACCAAGATAGTTATAAAAATATAAAGAGACCACACATTATCAGATCAGACCAGACCAGACCAGCCAGTAAATTACCGTCCAAGTAAAAGCATCCTTACCATCACTAATATTGAAACTTTTATCACTAATCTTTATATAATATAAAGTAACAGTCGGGCTACAATTTTTGGAGGCAAAATTGCCGCCCAAAATAAGGGTAAAAAGGTAATTGAAGTTCCATTAAAAATGCACCATATGCACTAAATATGTCATACGTAAGGAATCAAATCTAAATCTAAATATTTCTATGATTTGTGTAGATCAAGATTACCGTATGTACTAAATATATTCCTTTAATAACTTCTGCATAAATAGAACATTAGTTGCACCAATTAAGAATTTGCGTATAAAGTAACGTAAGTGCACCCATTAAGGATGTTTTTTTTTTGGATTGTTTTCAGTCCCAGACCAGACCTGATCAGACCATATCAGTGGAGACCATATCAGACAGGATCAGACTTCTGTAGTTATAAAATACACAGAGACCAGACATTTACCAGACCAGACCAAACCAGTTTAGACCAGACCAGACCAGCAAATTTCAATCCAAAAGAAAACATCGTAAGAGTTTGCATACAAAGGTGTCCAAAAAGTATTTTAGACATATCTTTATAAAGTATTTTAGACATATCTTTATTTTAGACATATCTTTATACGGAGTATAATATACACAATATAAAGTAGTAGGGTTGCTATAGTTTTTTGAGGCAAAATTCCCAAATTTGGAGCAATTTTGTATAAAGAAATAGTATAAAAGCTAACAATTCTTGCCATAAATAATAGCTTTAGGATTTAGGATAAAAAGCCAATGATAAACGTAATTTATGATATAATCCCATATTATTGATTGATAAACATAATCTATACAAAAATGATACTTCGTACTACGTATAATTTAATGATATATATCTTCTCATCATGTGATCCCGGCTGTATCTAAATTTCTTATAATTTAAATATGTAAGGAATAACAGTAGTAATAATCATTTTTATTATTATTATAATCATTGTAGTAATAATTATTGTCTTTATATTATTATTATTATTATTATTATTATTATTATTACTATTATTATTATTATTATTATTATTATTATTATTATTATTATCATCATCATCATCTTTATACGAGTATAATATAAAATAGCAAAGTTGATACAATTTTTGGAAGCAAAACTTCCGCCCAAATTTGGGGCAAGTGTGTGAAAATAAAAAGTATCAAAAATAACAATTCTTGGCTTAAATAATATCTTTAGAAATGGTAACCTAACTAATGACCAATATGTTTATATTATCTTTATCTTTACATACAGAAAAGATCAGGTCCCTCCGGAGGGACGGGAGGGACCGTCCGAACTTTACAGTTTGGGGCGGTTCCCGGTGGAATTTTTTGATTAAATTTTTTGAGCATGTTCCTCATCAAGTCTAGTTTGTCCATACCAAATTTCAGCTCAAAATTCGACCGGGAAGGCAGTCAAATAAATTCTTGAAGCTTACTGCACATTCTGCGCATATATAAAGTGCAGTAAGTTTCAAGAATTTATTTGACTGCCTTCCCGGTCGAATTTTGAGCTGAAATTTGATATGGACAATCTAGACTTGATGAGGAACATGCTCAAAAAATTTCATCAAAAAATTCCACCGGGAACCGCCCCAAACAGTAAAGTTCGGACGGTGCCTCCCGTCCCTCCGGAGGGACCTGAGCAGTCCTCTCTTTACATAATAATATAAAGTAGCAAAATTTGTAATTAATATTGCATAAAAACTGAATATATAAATTTGGACAGTGAACTAATTAATAATTTGCATATGGCAAGATTAATATTACACTAAATTAATCTTCCGGTTTATAAACTTTCGTACCAAATGCTTTAAAGAAGAGAACTAAAACCAAACAAAGTCCTACAAATTTTCTGTTCGATTAGACTGATTCGTTTCACTCAACCCTAGAGAAAAGAATGTGGATTCTCAAAGAATCTCATTGAAATGAAATTTATGGAGAGAAAAGAGATTCAATTTACGATATGAGTATAAAATTGCACAATATATTATGGGTATTCGGTTGTTCTATTTAGTTGGTTTTGGTTTTATTAGTTCGTTTTTTAGTCGATCAGTTTTAGGAAAGGTGAAACCGAGAATAGGAGCGCGCAACTTGAGTCGATTTCAGCCGGTTGTATCACGTTCGATCAATTTTGACATGTTTTGATCGGCTTTTGTACATCAGTTTCGCTTTCATTCAAGATGGTTTCAGTTGATTTTAGTTTTCAATCTTTTGAGAAACACCTACATTATATAGGGTATACATGATAATAATTATAGTAACAATAATTATATTATAATTATATAGAAATTTCATATCATGCTCTAGATGTCACCCGTGCAACGCACGGGTCATTAGTCTAGTTATATAACTACGACAACAATCGCCATCGTTGCTAACCAACGACGTCGCTCAACAACTCATTTTTATTGATCAATGATCAATAGATAAATCAAACGAATACTAGACAAACATATATTAATTCCGAATTGCAAGTCTGATCCGAATTGTCATCAGTTACGATTTTCCGCACATTATGAATGTAATGAAAAATAACTCTGATCCCTATGAAAAGTCATTAACAAGGTGAAAAATAATTAATTACAACAAAAAAGTAAAAACTATATAAAAATATTTTTAATAAATTTAGTGTTGAATATGTTTTGTTTACTTATTTTATTCTAATTGATACTTTTTAAGTAAATTCGCCATGTGCTACTTAGCCAACTTTTCATAACCATTACGGGTTTGTTTGCAATTGCTTCTCCCTAAAAAACACTTTTTTGGAAATAGTGATTAGTAGTAAAAGTTGGTAGTGTTTGGTAAACGGGTTTGTTTGCAATTGCTTCTCCTTCAAAACGCACTTTTTTTTGAAATAGTGATTAGTAATAAAAGTTGGTAGTGTTTGGTAAAATAAGTGTTTTTTGTGTAAATAGAAAAGGTAAAAGCATTTTTCACACGAAAACCGAGAAAAGTAAAAGTTGGTAGTATTTAGTAAAATAAGTGCTTTTTTTAAAATTAAAAGCTAGGAAGTGCTTTTTTTTGTAAAGTTTGCAAACGAAGCCGTAGGTTGCTATTAAACGAGAACAATTTTGTTCACCCTCATTTGAGAGAGTTATGTTCACCCCCACCCCTATTTGTCTGCCATGTGGCAAGGCAATACTTTACAATTTGGCAATTATTTTATCTTTTTCTTTTTTAA